GCTGGCCTACAGTTCCAGCACCCAGCTGGCTTATCTCCAGCCAAAGCAGCAAGAAAGGATCGTCCTTTCTACCATAGTTAAGAAAATAGTACGAAAGATTGAGACCGATCCTGATTAGCTTGTAGCCCCTTTGATACCGCAGCAGTTGATACCAATCCTGTTGAGGCCGGGCAGAAGAAGGTAGGAGGTAGCAGATAGTACTGTTCCCAGACTGCCACTGCACGATTGAATAACGAAGGCCCCCAGCTCCTGAGGAGAGCTGGTCCCAAAGGGTCCAGCAGAGAGCTCTGCTGGCCCTCCTGTCTGACTGACAGGACCAAGTCCTTGGTTTGGTGCCTACTGGAGGTGTTGGATACTCCTGAGGCACGACAAGGCCCCCTGAACTGCCTGACTACCGCTGTACCTGAGGAAGGGTTTCAGCGAGACCCAGTCCACTACTTGAGTATTGGAACTGAACCTTCTAGAAACTTATTGCCTGATGACCTCTCGGCATCCTTTTTTGTTCTAGTTTCTGTCCAAAATGTGAGCATTTTTAAGGGAAGAAAAAACAGTGTTTGCAGGTACTGCCACCATCCCAATGAATGCTATTCGAATGGGACTTCAAGATCCGGCGCCACCCTCAGAACTGCAGTCACATAGGCCACCAGAAAAATCATGTCTATGTACTGACTGTTGATCTGGTGCTGCCTCCACCAGGTGCACCAATCCCTCCCTAGCTAGTTGCAGCTAGTCTTCCACGGGTAAGTAGGCAATTCATTCATCCTGTCTATATTTTTACTTCTATTCTACTCCCTCTTAGCACGTCTATGTACCATGTCGCGACTGGCTCTCTCCCTCCAAAGAGGCGACGGCATTGCTCTCATTTCCCTCCAGTAAATATATGACACCGCTCTTTTTAGTCTTGTAATATTTGTTTTTCCTCCATTACATTCGCTCCTCTCCTGATCATAATATTTGGCCTCTGCCCTAGGCACTCTACATCGGCAGTTGTGCCTGTTGGAGACCCACATGTGGACACTCTGGATGATCTCGAAGATTTGACGCATCTTTTGAATGCTCTGGCCATGATATTAAAATGATGCAGTCGTTCATTGCCGAAGAGGCCTTTCTCCCCAACAGACACGATGCGTCCCCATCTAACGACCCTAGGGGGAGCCACTGAGGAGCGTGAACTTTGTTGTAATTAAAATAAAATTATTTTATTGAAAAGCAAGGGTTAGAGATAAAGCGGTGGAAACCTGCATAAAAAACGTAATAAAGCTAGCTCACTAGCTAGCAAGATAGAGCACCATTTCGTGTTGACAAAGCACAATCTTACTATTTTACTATAAAATAGTATGGTGGTTTGCATAAACTGTATCAAATTCCTTTTCGCATCGTGAATTCGTACAGTACGTTTTATAGTAAATGATACTACTTTAAAGGTTGTAAAAGCGTTGATATGCAAGACTCGCATTACTTATCTCCTAGCCTGCCTAGTGACACCCTATGAGATTTCGCAACTGCACTTCCAGGTAGATATGTACAGTATAATATATAGTAAAAGATTCTATGGGTGCAAAATCGTTGCTATGCAGGATTCGAACTATTGATCTTATATCTACTGTTAACCAGTAAAAATCGTTTCCTGCACAGCACCTTTGAAACATGCATCGAATCGCCAAACGGAACACGAATCCTGCATGGCACTACATACGTATAGCAAAAGAGTACTAAAGCGTGACTGCACATCTTTGTAGATTGGTACAGTAATATATATAGTAAACTGTTCTAAGGGGTGCAAAGGCGTGCTCATGCAGGATTCAAGTTTTTGAGCTTATATCTTTTAAGAATACTAGGACATTAACTTTCCTGCACAGGCGATAGTAAGGGCGCCCTCACACATAAAAGCCACAATTTCGAAACATGCATTGAATGCAATCGTATAGTAATAGAGTACTTTTCAATAATTGGTGACACATGCCCACTCTCTGGAGGCGTAATAAAAAGGAAGGAATAATGTAACATGTTTACAATCCATGGTACAAACGTATAGTAAAACAGTAGTATTTTGGTTTGCCATTGCGACATTTTACTCCTGCGTGCATGTCTAACTTACGCAAGTCTGTGTAGCTTTGGTAGAAAAGGCTTAAATAAATGCTTCATTAATAAGCGTGTGAGAGACTGAGCATAAATTCCTCAGTGTTGTAAGCTCTGACTCTTCATTTCACCGATTGTTGTCCCCTTTTCTTACCATCCAGGGCACCGTCACCATCACTTTCGCGTAAAACCCAGGATGGACCGCACCCAATGTCGTTGCAGTTGGCAAAGAGGAAGCCGGTAGTGACCACAGCCGATGCATCTCCTGGTTTGACACCATGCAAAAGCCCACCAATTAAGAAGACTGATCTTCGAACGTTCCCGGTGGTGTTTTCGAAACAGGTTACCATCAAGTCGGAAGCCGGAATCAAAAGCGAGGATGAACCTTGTGGTTTGGGTTGTTTCCAGAAGGAACAGAACGTCCCACAGAGACCAAAAGTTGGTGCAAAGAGACCTCCAAGACGTCCTATTCCGGCCGATGCTGAAGTTCTCTGCGTGGACAGTCAGTCCTGACGAGAAGCCGACACCAGCTGCCGTTCCTAGTTCTGTTCAATCAAGCCAAAAAGTGTCATTGAGGAACCCCACACTTTGTCTACCGAAGTCATCTCAGTCGACAGTAGTCCAGAGACTTCAACCAAAGGGCCACAAAAGACGCTTTCGAAAGGGGTATCTTTGGGTCCTTACTCGCCATCTTACATCCGGGCCATTTTTGCGAACCAAAGAAGGGTGATGAAAGAGATTGAGCTTCTTGAAATGAGGGTTAGGTCCAAGCCACCGCCAGCTGGTACGTCTTTTTTAGGTGTTGCGCCACTCCAGCAGAGTGGCCGTTCTGCAAGGACTGCTGCTGTTCTTCCACATGGGAGTTCTGGACATCGAGTATGCTGCCTCTGCGAACTGCCCTTTTGTGAGGCATGCAACACAGACCCCTCCGGTGCTTGCCAAGGGTATCAGACCTGCCAAGTCTGTCGGACGCACCGTAGGTTGTTACAGAACAAGTAAGTCTCTTTCTTCGGCAGCAGCACTGATGACGAAGATGAAACAGAGATAGAATCATCCGACATTAGCTTGGAAGGAGAGGAAAAGAAGAGGTATGACAAAATGACCGGCTTCACCAAAGCTGTCTATCGCAGGGAGTACAAGAGCCTTAGGAAGACCAGACAGAGGGCGACCTTCTTGAAGCAGAGATTCCGAAGCTACGCAAAGGCACCTGTTGAGAGGTCTGCCGAAGAATCCCACTTGATCATGATCGGAGGGAGGAAAGCTAGATCTCGTAAAAAAGAAAATCTATCTATAATTGTTACAGCTACTAGAGAACAAGATAAAGCCACTGCCAATGAATGGACAAAGAAAGAGGAGTTCACCAAAGCCAGGAAAGAAGCGAGGGATGAACAAAAGAAGAAAGAAAAGAAGGAGGCCCCGGCTACAGCCGTTCCCAAGCTTGGTGAATTGCCGGAGCTTTGGATTGGATCTGTGGACTTTCCAGGAGCAGGGACCGTTCGTGACCTGCTAATTACTAACCAAAGTGGACAGCGACTCCATTCTGCCAATGCCAATAGTTCCGCGGTCCCTTGCCCCCACATCACGTCCAGTGATGTTACGAGCAAAGACAATGTGATCCGACTCGCTAGATTGGAGGTGTTGAAGCTCACCGAAAGCTTGGCTACCAGCATGTTCGTCAAAGACCGTGGGCTCATTTATCATTTTGTGGAGCTGTGCTTTTTTTTAATCGCGTCTAAAATAAGTCATCTGTGATTGAAAGAAACGTAATATCTTGTGCCAGTTTTTAGCGTAAAATTGTTGAGTCTCCCCCCATACAAATAAATTGCAAATCTTTATTTTCGGGCTGGCTATTTTAAAAAGTAGGCTGGCTAGACCCTCTGCCGTTTACATGTCAATGCCACGTCACCACGGCTAAGCCGCCGTGAACCGCGGCTGGTTGCAGCCGCCAAGCTCCATGCCAGTACCTTCATTTTCTCGTGGACCATGGTTACCTCTCAACACCCCAATACTGGTACCGGTAGCAATAGCAGCAATGGCAGCAGTCGGAACAAAGGAGTTGGTCATGACAAGAAAGCGTTCTATGGTCTGCTGCTCCTGCTGGGCTTGGCCATGGTGGTCATCTTTATGCAGCAGACAAACTTGAGAAATCTGCAGCAAAACTACCAAAATCACCATCATGAATCTACTAGTCATAATACTAGTGACGCTTCCTCATCTGCGCTACAACGATCAGTCCAGAATGACACCAGTAGTGGCAAAATAGTAAAGAAGAAGAAACTCCCGGACTGGCGTATTGCCATGGATTGTTCCATCTGGGACTTTCACTGTGTCACTACCCGGCAAAAGTCCGGTGTGTACGAAGCGTATCCATTTCCCTACACCAGGAAGTACGACCATGAACATTTGTTTAAGTGGGAACAAATGGACAAAGTCCCTGTGGAATGGCAACAGGAACTGGCCGATATCAATACAACACTATCCTTTCCACCACCACGGACCGTGGAATACACCTACAAGGAACAGGTCTCCGAGTCGGAGCTTCAAAAATGCCTCCAGTCGGCGCAGGATCTGTCGTGGAAAGAACAAATACGCTCTTTGATTCAGGGGCCCAACAAACAACTGGATGCCAGCAAAAATGATCTGAATTTGTTGGCGTTTACCATATCCGACTACAAGTATGCCAAGGACATGATGCACGACTTCTTCCAAATGAACGACAACATTGTGGGATTACCAGGCGCCCTCTTCATGGTGGCCATTGATCACGAAACCTTGGAAATGGCATGTCGCTACAATTACCCTGTCGTGGCATGGACCAGTGCTGTTCCTCGAAAAACTATTGATACAGAACGAGAAGACCTCAAACATTCGGTCGCCAACACCAAATTCGAAGTATCCTCGGCATTGGTGGAAATGGACCAAGACTTTTTCTTTTACGAAATGGATGTGTGGTTCCTTCAGTCACCCATGCCCATACTGGCACTATTCCATGATGACATCTTGTTTTCCTCTCATCAGTACTGCCCCAAGTGTGTCAATATTGGAGTTTACCTGGTCCACGCCAATGCTGCCACCAAGGAATACTTCAAAGTAGCCATTCAGCTGGCCCAAGAATGCCCGGACACCCATGATCAATTCGTCATGGCACAGATCTTGCACATGGTCAACATGGGCGAAAAGTTTGGCTATAGCAATCAATGGAAACCGGCCCCACCAGATTACATTCCCAAGTTTGAACATCCCGTCAAGCATGGATTTTTCAGTTCTCATGAAATTGCGGCTGCGGAACGGCCATACACATCCCAAATGGCCATTGCCATTCATCCACTACGAGATGCTCCACTCAAAAGCCCACACGGCAAGAAAATTCTGGCCAAAGAAATGGGAGCCTGGTATGGATTCGAGGGACCACCGGGTGCCCTCCAGGCAGGAACAGCAGCGGGATACTATCATCGCCAAGGTAGAGCCAGGAGATACTTGATGATGGATGGGCACATTTTGAATGGATATTCCAATGTCATTAATTGGGAGTTTGATGGGAACGAAGCTGGCATATTCAAACATTACGCAAACCTGTTTTGGACGGTGGCCGCACTGGTGGCACTGGCACGCCGAACTGGTCGCATTTGGATTCTGCCACCAGTGGGTGAAGAGCGTGGCATTCATTTTCTATGGTCTCTTTTGGATCTCGAATCAGTGGAAGAACTGGGTGTTGACTATCGGGAAACAACATTTTTCAACAACCAAAAGTCTTGGATCCGTCCCCATGACACTCCCTTTGACACGGTTGCTCGATCAGCTTTGGGGAGTTTCGATAAGGATCAGACCATGTTTGCACAGTATAATGATGTCCATGATGATCCCGTGACACGAGCGTGGAAGTTTGGCACTGATCAGGTTGATTCCATTGATGCATGGTGGGCACTTCATACAACAATTCCCCAGGTTGATGGTGCTGAGGCCCTGCTTGTGAACACACACTTTTTGAACCTGTTTTATCATCGAAGAATTGAGAAGAGACTACGAAATGGGTTACAAAATATGAGCCCGCATCCTTCCGCAGGGAGAGGCAGAGCTGAGTATGATATTGCAGGAGTCTTCTCCAAACTGCGGTGGTGTCCGAAAGGAAAGGATTATTTCGGAAATATTGTAGGTGCGTTCCAAGCCAGCGATGACTGCTACGGGAGAGGAGAGACCATTGATTGGGTTGGCAGACTTTAAAAGTGTACAGTATGGAGTAGAGTGAAGTGACTTTGGAGCGAGCATTGCTATTGTAATGGGTGTGATAGGAGCCTGGATTAGGTAACACCTAAACCAACAAGGCATGGCACCATGTATTTTGCTGTCCCAACACCGATGCATGCGCCTCTTTATTGGTCTTTGAAAAGTTGACAAGAACACGGGGTGTTGATTCGGCGAATCATCCGATGATGTTGTTTCCCCGTTTGCACTTGGGGTGGATCCTCCTCAAAGGCCGCTCCGAGAACAATTTCGGTAGTTCGTTGTGCGTCTTAGCCCTGAGTTTCCGTCACTGCCCACTCTGAGTCCCGGTGCGTTCATCGTCTTCACGATCGCGTCCACTTCTGTACAAAACTACTCACCCCGAGTTAATCTAGCTAGTTGAATATCAGGGGGGCTTTATTGCAATTTCAAGGAGAATTTTTGCTTGGCTCTAGAAACAATGCCATCTCCGGGAGGAGGGAATAAGGTTGAAACCAAACAGGCAGGAGCGATGGTTCGTCCAAACAAGCCCCAGAGAAATCGCTTCCTTCAGGTGCCTTCTCGCACCGAAAGTCGAAGACCGCCACGACAACAGGGTTCCGATAGATCCTGACTGTGACAGATTAATTGGTTTCTGCCATTGTGCACTAGGTTGCTGGTGGAGCTTGGGAGGTGTCTTCCGTGCTACAGTACTGAGCGATAATCGCGATCCGAGCGAGGATCGCGATCCGTGTGAGGAAGGGGAAAGAGCTGGACTTTGTGTGCTTTTGCGTTTTTAAAATGGACTGGACTCGAGGCTCGGAACCAATCTGTCTGCCTTTTCGACGGCAGTTCCGAGTGGAAACGCAAAAGATTCCAAAGAGTAGAATAGTAGTGGGCAGATCGTCGCCTCTGGCTGCTGCCCGTAGTGAGCGGCTCGTGCTCTTTGAGTACTGGTACGTCCACACTAACCCCGCAAAATTTAGACCTCCCCAGGTCCGGTCGGATAGTCCCTTCACGATAGACGACCAGAAGGTATGCAGTGGAAAGTCTGAGTATACCAGCTACTACTGGTATACCGGTACGGGTAGCTGGTCTGTGCTATCAATTTGTGCCTGATGGGTGTGAAAGCATTTTCCACGGTGCCCTCCACGCACCGAAACCACGGTCACGGACAACCTCTCACGCGACCGCTTCAAGTGAAAACGTGACCGGCATGCACTTTTCGCCTCGCTTGGCACACTTGGAAGTCTTGCTGTTTCGTTCAGTCGGTTGAATGGCTTGTATGAAGTGGAAATGATAGTGTTGTCCGTAATCCTGTCCTGGCAAAAGAAACACATGAACAGAGCTCCGTACCGGTATGCAACGATAGATCAGTGTGCTTGAGCCATCCACAACCCGTGTTCGAGATCTGCCAGCCTGCGGCTCCATCTTTGCCAAACAACTACTACCTGGTAGTAGTCAGCATAGAAGTCTACTTTCTTTTTCGATTTTTTGATACTGCACCACAATGGGCACCTCACCAAAGGAAAACGAAACCAAGAACGACGAGAAGAAGACGCATGCGGGAGCTGGTCTGAAGGAGAATCCGCGTGCTCGTGAGGAGTGGGAGTCAAAGCGAACCTCATCCATATCCACCAAGACTGGAAGCAGCGAGCCTGGAGCCGTGTCTTCCACTGGTAACAGATCCATCGTTTCGAAGTATGGACTCCGACGGCGTAGCGATGATAGCAAAGAAGGACGATCCACTTCGGCCACAACGACAACCAGCCACGACCGTTCCAGTGCCCAAACAATGATGCGAATATCCGAACTCGCCGACATGCCGGCGGAGCGTCCTTCGGTGGTTCATGTTGGCGGTGAAAACGAGATCGTCCTACCTCCCCACCGCGCTGACGGTACCAGTGGCGCCTCCTCCTCCATAGACCTTGAGTCAGCAAGATCTCACCGTCCATCCAACAGCGAGTTTCTGATTGAAGCTACTCTTGTCCCTGATGACCCTGTCACTCCTCAACAGGAGCCCAGCCCAGAACTGGCCAAAGTGGTGGAGGCAGAGCAACTGTATTTTGGATTTTCGAAACGACAACTTCTCTTTCTGGGAGGCTGCCTAATTTTGATTGCTGTCATTGTGGTGATTGTAACAGTGACTGTTGGTTCTTCTTCTGGTGGTGAAGAGAATGCTGACGCTGCTGGTGCCCCTTTTACGACACTGAGCCCAACAGCCACTCCCCTTCCTACAGTGGATCGAATTCGACAACGGGGAGAACTTCTTTGTGGGATTTGGGATGAAAGTCACAAACTCATCATGACGTCCGGTGTCTTGGAAAAGGATGAAGATCAGACTGATCTGGTACTCTGTCGTGTTCTGGCAGCAGCTGTCTTGGGCAACGCCTCAGCGTATCGGTTGATTGAGACCAGCCAAGAAGACAACTTTAAACTGCTGGGCAATGGTGCCGTGGATGTACTGACATCCCAGGTGGAAACCTCCATGCAGTCAGATGTGTATGAGACAGAACAAGGAAAGATTGGAGCAGGGTTTACTTTCTCCGTCCCTTTTGTCTACATTGGTATTTTTTGGGGTGGCGTCCCTGAGTTTGTGCTGTGTGCCGAAGACAACTATGAGACCAAGGGAAACTGCAGTGACCTCAGGATTTGTATGAGCACTGATTCCGAGTGGGCAGAAATTGTGGTAGAGAAAATTCCAGAAAGCTTCATTGTTAAAAGGGACAATGTCACAGAAATTCTCCAGGGTTTCAAAAATGGAGATTGCAATGTGTTTCCCGTGGAAAGCACCGGCGTCACAGAGTTTCTATTAGCTCTCTTTGGACATCGAGGAGAGTATTATCGTGGTACCCAGCCATTTGTCAATGATATAGGAACTCTGGCAACAAGAGATGATGACCCCGAATGGTCCGACTTTGTCAACATCATTCTGATGGGCTTGTTTGCGGCAGACCTGGCCAATGTTACACACATCAACGCTGCGGAATTGCTGGCTGCAGATGTGCTAGGGGAGGAACTGGAGCGGGCTGTGGAGGCAGCTGGTAACTATGCTGAGATCTTTGACAGGGGATTTAAGCCCATTTTTCAATCTCGCGAAGGATGGAATTTGCTGAACAACGGAAGCACAGGATTGCTTTTCACTCTTCCACTCGGCACAATTCAGAATGAAGGGCCTGGTCCGGTGGCGGGTGGGACACTGGAGGAGATCAGGGACAGACCAAATGGCAAGCTACATTGTGGTGTAAGATTGGGCAGGCCAGGATTTGCTGTTCAGGATAAGGCCCAGAATCAGCCATTCAGTGGCCTCGATGTTGACATGTGTTCAGCCTTGGCTGCTGGCCTTTCACAAGGCACCACCGATGCTGTTCTATTCGTCCATGTGGAGAATGAAGCCCAGGGATACCGCATGTTGCAATCTGGGGAAGTCGATGTTTTGGCAGGGCATACATGGAACATCCGGAATGACTATCATGAACCTGGAACTGGAGTGGGCTATTCCTTTACTATGCCCTACTTCTACAAACCTGTGGATGTTGATGTCCACAGCAGCAAGTAAGTTCTTGATGAGACGAAGTGGATTGGTGTTGTGTGTGCCCTTCTGACATTCCGATTTTGTTCTCCTAGTGCCACATTTGATGAGAACCTTTGCCTTGTGACACGACAAGATGATCCACAATTCTCGTCCTTTGTTTTCTGGACGGTTGCTTCGACCTGGCATGCCGAAGAGAGAGGAGTTACAGAGGCAAACTCTAGAGATATGCCCGATGTGAATTTGTTTGGTTTCGACTACAGCAAAATGTTCCGAGATGCCATCTTTGCTGTGGGCAACTATGGTGAAATTTATGAAAGGAACTTGGCCTCAATTCTTCCTCGTGGTGGGCGCAACATGCTCAATTCTGTTCAAGATGCTGGCCCACAAATTTATGTTCCACCTGGATACTTTGATTAGTCATCATAAGCAGGATGTTTGGTTTGGGTGATGGAAGCCTCTCTCACGGGGTACCGGTAGGCGGCAAATTTGTGGAGGGATTCTTCGGCAGCCATCGTTGCGTTGTGATTCAGGCCCGCTACAGTCGTACAGTACCGGTAGCATAATTGTCGCCTCGTGATAGCCTACACGCGCGAGTAATGGAAAACGGTTTACGGTTCCAACACAGATTTCGCGTATCATTTGTCTCTCATGCCAGCGGATTCGATTCGCTTTTCGTGCAGCTACGCATTTTCGACGGCGCTGCTGCTCTCGTTCTGCCAATGCCCGCTCTCTTTGTTTCCCATCGCCATAGGCCGGAACCGGTATGGTACAAACCCGGAAACGGTGGTGTGACGAGTGCCGCAATGGATTCGATTTCGACCAGACTAGACTCGTCTTCCAATTCTTCCGAGGATCTCTCGTTGTCTGGGTTTCTGCCGTCACATGGTCGTAGTAGTACTGCCGTGACCTGTATCGCTAGCGATGGCGACTCTCCTGGCCACACAGCCTTCGCCCTCCGTTCGTACAATAGGAACTCTCATCGCGTGCGAACTCGTCCAAGGAACCGAGCGAACGCTCTGCCTACAGCTTGCGTGGCCGTAGGCAGCAACAGGGAAACTCCATGTCGCAAACAACGGCAACTTGAAAAAACCGGAATCAGATCTCGTCCGTAGTTCGTTGCGATCTTCTAGCTAGATAGATGCATGCTGCTGTGACGATCTCAATCTTTGAATGTGCACATCCATGGTTCAGATCCAAGAGACAGCGATGGTGCTACTAATAACATTCTGATGGGTTCCACCGCGGCAACATGTACTGCAATCTTTTCATCCTATGTAGCAGCTCCCACTCAAGGCATAACGCTTTACGATGGATGCCACTACAAAACAAGGGCCACCGAGTTGCCGTTTGATAGTGGCGTTCCCTCGGAGTGCGTTGGGTAGATGCAGGATCTGCAAGCCGGAGATTTGCCACAGGAGTAATGAACTCTTGAAAATGCACATGAGGCGTTCTCCAATGTCTGAGGCAATGAAGCATGAAGCTACTAAAGTACAGGAGCATTGGATTTGCCATTTAACCATAATAAAATAATGGATGAACTACACTTCAAACTCAATCAGATCCATGAGGTCATCCTGGCAACTGTCAACCACTGAGCTACCCTGATGTGTCTCTTTCGGAACATGTTTTGACTCCTCAATTACCAAATCGCTTCCCAAGAAAACTCTCCATGGACCAGACTCTTCTCCAGAAACCACAGATCCAGCAGGGGCATAGCATCCTGGGTGCACAACTCCAGAGACAAATGTGTCACCAAGGGTAAGCCCATTATGATCCACGTAATGGCCAGTAAGGTGAGAATCATCCACAATGACACTTCCCCGGAAATGCAAGCAGCCATAGTCATATAGGGAGTTACCAAAGTACCAAAGCTCCCCGTGCACTTCAGCCCCCATGAAGCGAGCATAGTTATTAAACATTGGCGTACCATGAATGAGCAGTTCCAACAAGTTACCAACCCGGAAATGCCACGCATAGTTAACACAGACTCCATAGAAGCTTTCTTGGGCTTGTTGTGGAAGTTTATAGAGAATCCATTCAGCCATCCTGGAGCAAAGAACCCAAACTAACAACTGGAGTATGATAGCGGTGAGCAATCCAATTGCAGCAATTCCAACTGAAGAAGCTTTCATCACAGCAAGACCAACCTCATAGGCTGGTATGATAGATGCAATAATTATCACATTCATCAACTGATAGAACACCTCTGCCGTTAGTATGGCCGGCTTGGTTTGTTGGCTTGCTGGGTTCAAATCATATATGCTCTCAGACACATTAGACCTAGGTGGGATGGTAGATCTCACAATCTTGACACCGGAATGAAGATTGGCATTGTAACCAACACTGCTGTTGACAATTTCAAGCTTTGAATCTGCATGCTGGTTCAAGTCAAGAGAGATGGTGCCGACAAAAGATTGCCGAATCTTTGCAAAGTCGACCTTGGATGGGAGGAAGTAGACACTTGGAAAACTGAGTTGTGATATCAAATCAACGTCAAGACCATGAAGGTAAAGGATGATATTCCAGATTCGCGAGGTGCCACCAAAGAACGGCAAAAATGACCAACGTGCAATGCGGAAGTGGAAGTCGCAAGCCCAGTTGGTTACCCTGCGCCACAGTGTTCCCTCATATTCATCTGATGGATGTGGTTTCCCAATCAGAATCCATTTGAGGGCAATGCTTGTGAGAAGTGCAAGGAAAGACGTGAACGGAAAGAGCAAGGTCCAGTGAAGCATCCCAGCATATCTCCAGGAAGGCAAGATTTTGTTGAGTATGGCATGCACCAGGTAGGACAGACTGAAGAAGTGATATGCCTCAAAGATGGTCCACGCAATCTTCAAGAGGCCCAGCATGGAATCCTCCATATCCTTTGGTTTTGATGGCTCAAATGAACCACCGTGACAAGCTGGGCTACCTCTTGCAATGACACCGTTTGGTACGTCAGCTCCCTCATCAACAGAGGAAAGTTTCTCCACTTTGCTTCCATCTCCAATGATGGCCCCTGGGCTAACCATGCCAAATACACGGCTGTTCTCTCCAAAACTGATTGGCCGGAAGGTCACCTTTGGACTCTGTGTTGCTGACTGAGAGAACTTTCTGCACCTGACAGGGTGTCCAATAGTTGTACTTTTTCCCACTTTCACAAGGTCAAATTCACGGATGTAAGAGTCAAGCTTGGCAGACCATGCCACATCTGCTCCAAGTAGCCAGTAGAAGAACCAGATGTACTTGGTTTCTACTACAAACTGTCCCACTAGAAACTCCCAAACCTCGATTAGTCTGTCCATAAACCACCAGTGAAGGTAGTGCCACGACAAGAGCTCAATCTGTCTTTGCAGATACGTCCCAATAACTGCATACTTGCAGATCACCACAACCACTGAAAAACATAGAAGGTACAAAGGGAATGATAGGGGCAGAAGGACCCAAGAAAGTGAGCCATGACATTCTCCCACTTGAGTTGGGTCACACTGTTCCAAAACCCAGGAGACAAGGAAGTATGAAGGAATAATGGACATCAAAACCAAAGACAGGATCACTATCAAGCCCACAGTTTGTAGCACTCCAAGTTGTAGTTTGCCAAGCTTGGACCTCGAGGACTCCCAAACAAAGTCACGATGATTGTCAGCTGCCTCTCTGTGAAAGGGCATGCCCCTTGAGGCAGCCAAGAAGGCCGAAAGTGCCTTTGGGGACGGGTAGAGCTGCACAAAATTTACTGGAAGAACCACATGCAACTCTTGTTCCAGTCTGTTCCTGAGCTCAGCACTCTGGAGCGATGTCAACCCATTCTCTGCCCAAGTCTTGGATGTGTCGACTGCTGCTGCTGCCAAAATGGTCAATAATATACTCTCAAACTTTTGGGTGGGGGCTTCAGTTGCTGGGATGGATGGTTTCATTTGAGTAGCTTCGCTTTCACTTTCACCTGAATGCCTCATCATTTCATGTTGAGTTCCATCGGGAGTCTCACCAACAGCTTTTGTTGCGAATTGGGAAGGACAGTCATTCTTGGCAAGAGGGGAAAACATTTCGTTTTGCTGGAGTTGAAAAAGCAGAGCTGACTCCTTCCAATCGCCATCAAGTGTCATCTTCCTTATCTCACTTCTCTTCAGCTTCCCCGACGTTGTCTTAGGTGTTGCGCCCAACTTCAGAACAACCACCTCAAGGACAAAAATCCCATGGACCTGAGATACATGGTTGGCTATCTGAACTGCCAAGTCTCCATTTGCTAAATTATCGAATCCTTTGCGGCCCTCCACAGTGATGCCAATGCTGGATTCTCCATGTTGGAATGCACTTGTCCTTCCTGGGCGGATGATATCACCAAAAGTTTCATCAACTGAGAGCTCCATATCAGTTGGGTAGTAGTTCTTGCCATTGACAATGATCACATCTTTGACTCTGCCCGTAACATAGAGCTGACCATCATCCACCTTGCCTAGATCACCAGTGTCGAGCCAGATACCATCATAGCCTGGCAATGCATTGGCAAATGTGGAGAGTGTCAGCTCTGGCTGGCCGTAGTACCCAGCTGCCACTCTAGGTGACTGAGCCCAAATACATCCAACCTGTCCTTCTTCGACCTCTTTTCCATCCTCAACAATTCGAAGTTTGAGGGTTGGGGAGTCTACTGCACCGCAGCATACGACACCCTCAGCATCTGGACAGGCAGGTCCACCAGTGAGAAGCACAACAGCTTCAGCCAGACCATAGTTGTTGTAGATATGCTCAGGCTTGATAGAGAGCGTTTCTGACACTGCTTCAATCACATGGCTCTGGGCTGGTTCACCGCCAAACATGGCACGCTTCACACAACTCCAGTTGGCAGTCCGCTTGGCCTGCTGCAACCTCTTGAGAAGCAATGCGTAGGCAAAGTTTGGTGCACAGGTGATGGTTGCCCGGTAGGTCTCAACCATATCAGTCCACAGCAATGGGTTGATAATAAAATCCAATGGTGAAGCCATGACAAGGGGGGTGCCAGAATATGTAGCACCCATGAAGCCAGTCACAAGTCCCATGTCTGGATTGTGTGGAGGGACGGGGTGAGCTACAGAAAGAAGGGTGGGAACAAGGCAGCAGTAGTGGCCGGAACATACCATGGTATTGAGGGACCCATAAGACTTCCACATCATTGGGTCCCAAACAATCCGTCAAAGCAACACCTGCTTTGCATGTTTCCACCAAATTGTTGTGAGTGATCATGACTCCTTTGGGATGTCCAGTACTGCCAGATGTGTATTGGATGAAGCAGATATCTTCTGGTTCCCCAACGAATTTCTCATAGTCTTTTGGCTTGCTTGGGTTGACCTTCTTGATTGGCAATTTGTCAGTCGCAATCCACTTGACCCCAGTCTTGTAGAGAATGCTAGCTGCAGTCATCCCCGCAGCAAAAATGCTGGTGGAAATGGCAAATTTGGCTCCGGCGTCTTCAGCAAATCTGCGGAATTTTGGCATGTCAGTCTTGAGCTGATTGGGATTGGGCGGGTAGATGGAGCAGGGGATGACACCAATCTTCATGGAACCAAACATACCGGCCAAGAACTCCATGCCAAAAGGATATGCCACCATGACACGGTCTCCCTTCTTGCATCCAAGCTTGAGGAGGCGAACAGCCACAGCATTCGACTGGTCTTCCAACTCTTTGAACGTCATCTTGTTCTGCTCCTCACACTTGATATCGACCCAGGTGAAGACGACCTTGTCAGGGATTTCCATAGCATGGTGGTTGAGGGCCTTGAGGATGGTGGGGAAGCACTGCATGATGATTGCTTTGTTTCTGCTGGCTCAACCTGTATGGCTTAATTTTCTGACAGGAAGCCACCGAACCGAGAGTTGGATGCTCCTTGCACGATGATGGCGGGTGTGGCTGACGTTGCAAAGGAATAAAAAGTCACCGGATCGATGCATGGTGCTTGGGTACTTTGCCACTGGTGATGGGTGGAGCTTGAAAGTTGAACCAGCAAGAGAATAATATACTAATATGAGGATTTTCACACGACCAGGTCATCTTATCTGTATTAATTAATTATTGTAATAATGAGCTGCTTAGTATGCTTTAATTAATATAAGCTTACGAGCTTAATTAAGCTTCTGCCTGCATTCCCACCATTGGGGCTTAAATGAAACTGTTCCGGTACCTTGCAACTTAATCAAATAAGTCAGTGGTGCCAGTTTGGAGCGTAAAAATGTCCACTCGTGAAATACCGGTGATTTAAAATGCCGTCTCCGGATAGCGAATGAATCGAATCGAATCAATCGCTCAGGAAGCAGAGCCAGACAAGAAGAGCCTTGAGCTAGCTTTACAAAAGCCACCATGCACACTATTGTAGTACATACGCTCGTACCTTGTACTGAGTACCGGTATCATGTAGACTACCAGGTACTCGTACTCTAAAGCTTACTCTACTGAGTGGTACTCATGAGTAGAACTGTATGTACCGCTGTAACGGAGCATTAATACTTTTTGATTACAAGACTAATAAGTACCAGAGCTGTGTTTGACCACTCAAAGCTGAGTCGAGTCGTCCTCTCGACCACTGATTGCCAGGATTCGATTCAAGTGTTTTATTATCAATTATTATGCATAGTACGAGACCACGTGCCAGACCGGTGGCTCCTTGGCGTGCGTTGTGAACGTCTAGCTAGCTAGTAGTAGACGTCTACGGTACGGTACGGGACGGTACGGTACCGTACTGGGCAGGGGGGTGCCTCAAATCAACCTCGTGTGTGTGATTATACCCCCAACCACCTGCACTGGGTACACATGTGATGGCCAAAAGATGGTAAAAAAAGGTCTAATGCGGTCCAGAGTGGTAATACAAATAAAGGCGGTGAAAAGCGGTGAACAAGTGGTAAACAGGCGGTAAAAAGTCGGTAAACAGGTGGTAAAACAGGCGGTTGAAGGCGGTTGGAGGCGGTCGAAAGCGACTAAAGACGGCTAAAATGGGTTGAAGACGGAACGCTCATAGCCAAACTTTCAGAGAGGTGGGGTAAGAAAAGAAGGGGCAAAACCAGTTGGTTTGAGGCACCCCCCAGCGGCATGCCCGTAAAAGAGTCGAGTGACAAGAGTGTGACAGGCTAGTCGAGTCTTGAAGGGACCTTGCTTCGTGCTGACCAATTTAAAAGTCTGTGTTTGTGTTGGAGCAGCTAGCTACATGTAGTCTATTGGCTACGGTAGCTACAGTAGCTAGCAAGAGGTTCGTTCCTACAGCGGAGGAACCGAACTGACAGAGAGTAGCAGCTGGCAATCCCATGCGCGGGCGGAAACAAAGCCAACATCAGCTATTACTCTGCGACAATACCATTGTGCATTGACTAGTCTAGGGATCTAAGATTAAGTTGCAATAAGGGGAAGGACTACCGATGAAGATAATGAGAGGAAACTCAGGACTCTGCACCAAGGGATAGCTCATTCCATTGACAACCATAAGGAATAGACATATAAGAATAAGAATGAGTAACATCTCATAACCTCGCATGCTACCATGCGACAATACCATTGTGGATTGATTAATCTAACGATCTAAGAGATGTAAAGTTTGTATTTCCAAATAAGTGAGCAGTTATTGATTATTTTCTAGAATAAGCCTGCAATTTGTGAAGCTGAATTGTAAGCTGTATCCCGTCGGACTCCCTTACAGCTGAAATGAAGCTGTAGCAAGAAACGATAGGAGAGAGTCCCCAGCAACGTGCTGAGGTAGATTACCATCCGTAGTCAACACAACTCTGGGCAATCACGCCCATCCCGCTCAGTCAACTCCCATGACTTCCTCGACGTGGGCAACACCACGCCACGAGCAGGCAACCTAGAAGTGCCCTCGCACCAAACCAAGTCCAACAAGACGGACACCGACCTGTTGCAGCTCGCGTGCAACAAGACGCATTCAACGCCACCGTCCTTTGCTGGTGACATCGCGTCCGTCCTATCACAGCCGTCCAATACGGCTACACTCAAAGTACGAGTCCACGAGGTTGATCGCTCATCCTATGAGTCTTACTCCCACGAAATGTTGTTCAGCGAGCCAGAGATTCATCCTGATTGGCAGCCATTCGTATATCTCTCTGATGGATCCGAGGACAGCCAAACACAAACCACTCGTGAGACTACGACGACGCCGGTGGACCTCCTCGACGTACCCAACGAAGCGGATCCTCCAATGCCCGCACTCGACGATGGAGAAACAATCTTCCCATCCAGTGATCAGGATTTCTCACAGTTTGCTTACGGTACCTCCCAATACGAGGCTATTGATACGAGTATCCAACAGCAAATCCAAGAGGATCACACAGGGTACCACACCTTCGAACCGCAGGTTCTATGCGATGAACCCTTCGACCTCTGGACACGCCAACGCATCTCCTCAGCTCTGGAAGCACAGCTGGATCCTACGGCACTTCCTGTGATTGGCCCACTCATGGCACCACCATACCATCAGATTCAGCAACCTGGCGATACACTCTTGCTTCGTCAGCGTCAAACTGCCACCGAGCATGAACAACAGCTCTTGGCCAATCTCACAGCGGAAGAAGCACCCGTCGAGGAGGCACCTATTGCAGAGATACCCGCTGATGATCCAGAGTCCCTAGCGCTCGATATTTCCCAACTCCAACTCGATCCTTCTTCTGATATTGGAGTCGATATCGACACTGACCTCAGTTTCGCGACACCAAGCGAGGCTGACTTCCCGGAAGACCCCTCCATGCGCCACATCAAAGGCACCCATGGAATCCGCAAGGCTGTCCGACAACGCCGAGTGCTCAGGCAGACTCCTGCTGCGCTCGCACCTGCAGCAGTAACGACATCCTCTGCCACGATCCCTACAACCACGCCGGTCTCTGACGGCACTCCAGATTCCTCTGGGTTCGTTACTGTCACCTCTTCCAAATCTCGAGGCCGAAAGGGCAGGACCAAAAAGAAGGAATCGTCCAAGACGACCACAGGCACCCTTGGATCAATCTGCAACCTCATGTCACCACCCGGTTACAGACAGGACCTGCTCTCATCCAGCTCATCTGAATCCAGGAGCTCCGACAGTTCCTACCGCCCCTCCGATGTATCACAACAGTATCACACTGGAGATGCATCCAACTCCTTCGCTGCTCTTCAAGACTCCGACGACGAGCAGGATTTTCATATCGACTCATAGTTGAGACCTCGTCTTCTCACGATGTGGCGAGTGCGAGTCCCTGATAGGTGGTTCGTCCATTGGGGTAGGCTCTTCTGGATGGTCTCCCCTATCTCCCCTTCTTGTCATCGTCTGGAAGGTCAAAAGGCTCTGGTTCATGTCGATAGTGGGCAGTCATAGCATCATCGCCTTCTTCGTCTCTTTTAAGACCTGACGTATATGCGTTCTGGGATTGCTCCTGATTCGACGATCAAGCTTGAGTGTTGTTGATCCCTTCCTTTGCGAGTCTGACTCTGGAGCAGACATATGATCTGTTTGGTATCATCGGTGAGGATCTTGAAGGTGATTGATGTCCAACGTTCCAGGCTAACTCCAAAGACGAAACGTCCACCGAATCTTGAAGACTTGTCGTGTCCGGGCTGGGCATTGTACCTTGGTCTTTGTATCGCGGGAACATAAACAACATACCAGAATAGGAATACGAGCAGAATGCTGATGTCCACAGTTTGTCCAGGTGAGAACTTCAAGGGTGGTCTCCATCCGTCGATTTTTCTATGTATGTGTTCATAACATCCCCTATCCATTGCATTCACAGTAGACCAGCTTCGCATCAACGTTTCGCCAGTTCATGAACCAGTTTGGTTGCGTTTAAGATCGTTCCATCTGTGTTCCTGCGAAGTTTTGATGCTGGTAGGTGGGTTCAGATTCCAATCGTCAATGCATAGCGCACGACAGTATCTCTTTTACTCGCGCGGAAGTTCTGTGCTGAGATGCTCTATCCGAGATAAGCTTGTCCATTGCTCCCTTGTTCGTATGATATCCTCAAGGGTATTGACAAAGTCGCAGTGGAAGACATACCAATACATCGATGACAAGCTAATTACGCCCAATGAAGATTGTTGCATCATTTGACCTCCGGTGAAATGGCGGGTGTGTCCGCAAAGATAGTTCCGTAGCAACTGGTTCGTTGCGTCGCCATTCATTATGGCCGGGAAAGGTGATTAATGGTTTGCTTTGATGTGATGTCCAGCTTGGATATTGGGACGCATTTGGGTAGTCCGCTCAAATTACGACGAATCTTTCAACGACGGGGAAAAAGCGTCTCGGAGTCTGGTAGAGACTCGGTGGCGGGAAATGATGTGGTCTTTAGAGGGACGGTATCAGTATCAAAGTCAGATAGACGGATTCTGCAAGGATGATCGGTTGGTTAGGTTGGAGACAACTCTTGTAGGCTTTCGAGAAAGGTAGCATGTTGATGTCGAGTGGATTCTCGTCTAGTGGGGTGATTGCTTCAACGTTGGGTGCGATGAGTGCGGTTCACGGTGTTTTGTAATTCCTTGTGAATCGAAAGCATATTGGGTTGCATCATCTTCTGAGTTTGATACGATTGTACCAGTCGTCGTGGATCACTGTGTCTGAAGTCGAGACCTTGGGATCCCATAACTCGCCAGATGTCAGAATGACATGGGTGAGTGGTGTAAGTTCATTGTCGGAAGGAGGGCACATTCGCATGTACTGGAGGTCATTGACAATATCCAGATGAATGATGAAGCCATCTGTTGGTGGTGGATGCATTGTCTGCCACCACATAGGAGGATCGATCATCTGACTCGGTTCCTGTAGTGCTCGATCTGA